TGATCCCGGATGGGCCGCCTGTCCCGGACGACGTTCCGAGGCTTCTGGGGGGTTCGTACCAGCACGCACTGGCGGTGCCAGGCTGATCCCGGGGGGTTACTTGCATCCGCGGGGGGGTTCGTGCTTCCTGGAGGGGTTCGTACCGGCCCGCACCGGCGGTGCCGCCACCCCGAAGCCCCTCAGGATGGGCCTTACCAGGTGGGTCGCTCCGCAACGGGAACCGCCGACATGTTCTTAATACAAATATACTTGAGCAGGCCGAAAGATTTTCCTTTTGAGGCCCACGTGACCCATGCAAAGTGTCGTGCCTCCCTCCCCCTCACTCGTCCTCCTCCTCCTCTTCCCTCCGCCCTCCTCCTCTCCCGCCTCCCTTACACTTCCCTCCTCCCTCCTCTTCCCCCATCCTCCGCTCTCCTCCTCCCCTCATCCTGACTCTTCCTTTGCCCTCCTCCTCTTTCTCGTCTCTCCTCTTCCTCTTCGTCGTCCTCCCCCTTCTCTCCGTCCTTCCTCCCTCATCTTCCTCTTCGCCGGCCCTTGATGTGTGTGTTCCCTACTCGCCCCCGTGTGTTGTGTCTCCCGGTAGGGAAACCCTTCCCCCGTAGAATCATAGCTTGGGCTGCAGGTCCAAGGCTCCGTGGATCCATTCCCCCTTGGGCCCCTTGTATGAATGATTACTAGATATAAATTTACTCCAGCCAAGAAATTGGATCCACGAAACTTCCACGCCAAAACATTGGATCCACAGGACACGGAAATTGGACCCAAGTGACTCTCGCACACACGTAGCTGGATCCAAATGAATCCATGCGTTCCCATGCAAGAGGAAAAAACTTTCGGCCTGGGGATGAAGAGTTTTGCGCCCCTTCTGCCCTTCAGCACAGGGGTGGTGGTGGCACAGTACACGTAGCATGCCCGCCATGGCGGGGGAGGCGGGGGTCAAAACCACACTGAAGAGTTTTTCACCCCTCCTGCCCTTCCGCACAGTGGCGGTGGTGGCACAGTAAACGTAACATGCCCGTGTTGGCAAGGGAGACGGGGGTCAAAACCCCACTTGGGCAGGCCGATAGATTTTCCTCTTGAGGCCCACATGACACATGCGAAGTGTCGTGCCTCCCTCCCCCTCCCTCGTCCTCCTCCTCTTCCCTCCGCCCTCTTCCTCTCCCGCCTCCCTTACACTTCCCTCCTCCCTCCTCTTCCTCCCTCCTCCGCTCTCCTCCTCCCTCATCCTGACTCTTCCTTTGCCCTCCTCCTCTTCCTCGTCTCTCCTCTTCTTCCTCGTCGTCCTCTCCCTCCTCTCCGTCCTTCATCCCTTATCTTCCTCTTCGCCCGCCCCTGGCTTGTGTTTCCCAACTCGCCCCCGTGTGTTGTGTCTCCCGACAGGGAAAACCCCTCCCCCGTATAATCATAGCTTGGGCTGCAGGTCCAGGGCTCCGTGGATCCATTCCCCCTTGGGTCCCTTGTAAGAGTTATTATTATAAATTTACCCCAGCAAAAGAATTGGATCGACGAAACTTCCACGCCAAAAACTGGATCCACAGGACACGGAAATTTGATCCACGTGACTCTCGCACACACGTAACTGGATCCAAATGGATCCATGCGTTCCCATGCAAGAGGAAACAACTTTCGGTCTGGGCATGTGTGTATAAATATGTGTATATATATATATATATATATATATATATATATATATATATATTCAATCCATCGCGCGCGCTCTGCGCGCGCTTGGGTTCTGGCTGGTCGAGTGCTGACCGCATTGAGACAACAAGGTGGTCATGAATAATGAAATCAACATTCTCTGTTTCCTCCTGCCTCGTCCTTATCCTCCTCCGCTCTCATCGACCAGTCGACCCGTGATCTGTCGCCAAGCTATGGGCCAGAGTCAGAAAACAAATGCAGCACTATATGGGATTCCATGGTACACCATGCTATGCTATTCGCCGGCCCAACGGGCCAGGGCGTGCTAAGATCTCCGGTAACTGGTTAACAGTATTAACAGTATTTCTAGTTCGCGCGCGCGGGGCGGCCCCTGGGGGTCCCCCGGCGAAAAGTACTCCGACCAACGCCCGACCGCCGCCCGACCGCCGCCCGACCGCCGCCCGACCACCGCCCGACCAAGTCTACTCAGAGATGGTTTTCCTTCTGGGTGCGGCCTCTCAGGCTCCCCAGAGCGCGCTCAGAGTGCCCCAAGAGGCCCCCAAGACTGCCCAAGAGGCCCCCGAGACGCCCAAAGAGCGCTCGAAGACGCCGAAGATGACCCCAAGACGGCCCAAAAGGCCCCCAAGACAGCCCAAGAGGCCTCCAAGACGCCCCAAGAGCCTTCCAAGAGGCCTCCGAAGAGAGCCCCAAGAGGCCAAAATCGTTGATTTTCATTGGTTTTTTCTATGTTTTTTGTGTTCTGGCTTTTTCGGCTTCCGGACGCTCCAAGACGGCCCAAGAGGCCCCCAAGACCGCTCCAAGACGGCCCACGAGGCTCCCAAGACGGCCCCGGAACGGCCCAGGAGGGCCCCCAAGACGGCCCAAGTGCCGCCCAAGACGGACCAAGAGGCCCCAAGACGGGCCCAAGAGGGGCTCAAGAGGGGAACCGAGAACTGAAAAATCTAGCCCTCCGCCCCAGAAGGCGCCCAGGAGGCCCCAAAAAGGCCCCAAGGCCCCAAGAGGCCCCCAAGAGGCCCCCAAGACGCCCCAAGAGGCGCCCAAGAGGCCCAAAAGAGGCCCCAAGAGGCCCCAAAACGGCCCCCCAAACTCGGCTAGCCCACAACGGTGCGACAATATGGGCCGGCGGAATGAGCGAAGCGATTAAATAAAGCGCAATGTCACAATGCAATATGAAATTCGATCACAAGGTATACTCTACAGTACGCATTGCATGCCATGCCATGCTGTGCTGTGAAATGCTATGATAATATATGCGATGACGCGCTGAGCCATATCATGCTATGTTTCCCATGAAGAGCGATGCTACCGCGCTACATGGTATGCACGGACACGGCATGCCGGGCTACGCAATGCAATGCGATGCCATGTTATGAACTGCTAGGCTGGAATGAGCAGGACGACGGTAAGAACAACAACGGGGGTGTGATATGTGCATGAATTATGTTCACTGTTGCGCAGAGCAGTACGGTGCTGTTCGATTAATGCATGTGCATTGGAATGCCATAATACGCCACGATGTGTTATGATATGCAATGCCATGCTAGGCAACGTTACGTCATGACGTGCAGTGCTAGGCTCAGCTAGACACTGTTACGGGATGCAACGCTATGGCATGGTGAACCATACTGTGATATGCACTGACACGGTTAGCTCTGTCGCGCTATGCCATGTCATGTGATGTCATGCAACGCTGCGATGGCACGATAAGCCAGGCGGTTCTTTGCTTTGCACCGGTATGTTTGGGAGGCCTCTTGGATGCCATTTGAGGTGCTCTTGGGGCCTCTTTTTGGGCCTCTTTGGGGCCTCTTTGGGGCCTCTGGGGGGCCTCTTGGGCTCTGTTGGGGGCCTCTTATCTTGGGGCCTCCTGGAGACCTCTTGGGGCGGAAGGCTCGAATAGTCGGTTCGTGTCCCCCCTCTTGGGCTGCTGTTGGGGCCATCTTGGGGCCATCTTGGGCGATCTTGGGCGCCTCTTGGGCCGTCTTCGGGTACTCTTGGGCCGTCTTGGGACACTCTTGAGCCGTCGTGGTGCCCTCTTTGGATGCCTCTTAGACCGTGTTGAGCTGATTCCTGGGGCCTCGTGAGCTGTCTTGGACCGTCGGAAGCGCGAACCAGCGAGAACACGAAAACCCTTCAAAAATCCTGGACAACACCTACTTTGTTCGCCTCCTAAGTGCCTCGTGGGAATCCTTTTGAAGGCATCTTGGCTGTCTTGAAACCTTCTTGGGCTGTCTTCAAGCCATGCTGGACAAATTTTGCAAAGCGCTCTTGTGCGCACTTGGAATATCTTGGGGCGCTTTTGGGCCATCTTGCAGCCCTCTTGCACGTCTGTCGGCTCCCTCTGACGGTTTTGGCACCTCCCGCCGGGCCCGAAACTGCCGGAAGACAAATCAGTACACTTTGGGGGCCCAGCCCCCCCTACCCTATATATATATATGTATATATATATATATATATATATATATATATGTGTGTGTAGAGATGTGTTGCATGCATGCGTGCATACATACATGCATGTATGCATGCCGATGTGTGCGACAATGTATGCATATGCATATGCATGTGTGCATGTTTGCAGGTGTCTATGCATATGTATATACACATACATAGACACCTACATAACATAGGCATATAAATTTACATATACACATGCAACCATCTACACATGCGTATGCAATTTCATGTACATGTACAAGCGCGTGCAAACTTATATCTAATTCCCATAATCATATAGATGTGTGTATATGCACGCGTTCGTGTTGGTCGATCGTTACGCCCCGATCCAGCAAGTCGTACACGCCGTCTGCATGGATAACTAAATTTGTTTAAAGCACGGGTGAATGTGCAAATCGGACTTAGCAAGAAGTATCAGCGGCCATATGGAAAAACTGTGTGGTTAGATGCATCAAAACCGACGGTGCCTACAACCAGTTCCCTATGCGCGTATGTACACACTAACTCTCTGCAGTGCGATCAGACGCGTGTGGCAAAACACATGTGTACGCATCCTTGCGCACATATGCATCAAAACGTCTGTGTCGGAAGGGAGCAAGAGAAAGAGAGAGCGAGAGAGGGTGAGAGACATGAAAACATATACCTCTGTCCATGGAAACATTCAGATAGAGAAAAACAGGGGGACAAGAAGAGAGGGAGATAAACAGGGCGAGATGGGGGAGAGAGACAGAGAGAATAATAATAATGATAATAGTAATAATACTGAAGACTGAAAGAGAGGCAAAGAGAGATAGAGAAGAAACAAGAGGAAAATGGCGACGGCGAGAAGAGAGATAGAGAGTCAGATAGAAAGATAACTATACAAAAATATAGAATTCGAGCCCCGCCTGGCAAAATCGGGTCGAATGAACCGTGGCTGCAGACGGAATGCCTGCGGGTCGCCAATAGAAGGGCGGGGGGACGCGCATCCCGTCTCCTCCTCCGCTCTCCCTCCTTCTCCTCCTCCTTCTCCGCTCCTCCTGCTCTCCTTCTCCGCTCTCCCTCCTTCTCCTCCTTCTTTTCCTCCTCCTTCTCCTCCTTTTCCTCCTCCTCCTTCTCCTCCTCATCTTTGTCCTCCATCCTCCACCTTCTCCAGCTCCTGCTCCTGCTCCTCCTCCTCCTTCTCCTCCGCTCTCCTTCCATCTGCTGGCAACATGCAGTGGCGCATGGCCGGAAGGGGGCTTCAGGAAGGTCGTCTTGGGTTTCGCCACCTGTCTGGAGGGTAGGTCCCCACGGCCAGGACAAGACTGAAGCCTCCGGGCGACCCAACTCGCCTTGACGCTCTGTTGGGCGCGGGTGAGGCCCCGATAGAATTAGGTCGGGCATGTTCCCCCTACAGGTGGACTTGGGAGGAAAAATCACAAATACTCCAAAAGTGCTCAAATATAATTAATCAGATGCACAAAACATCGTCCCCGTACTGTTTGTTGGCCATTTTTGATTGTTTCTCCCGTAGAGGGACATGCCCGACTTATCGATAGAGGCCACCCGCACCAGATGGGCACCGCACCTCAGAACGACTCCGAATGATGGCCCCGCTGTCTGCCCCAAGGTCCCTCCCAGAAAGCTCTCCATACTGAACTCCATCGGAACCTCGTGAAACAGCTTTGGCGTGTCTGGGGGCCGTCCAGGGGGTCGTCGGGCCTCATTGGGTTGTCTTGAACACACCAAAGGGCCGCACTGAGAAACGCATTGGGAATAGTTGGGGCTATCGCAGAGGCTCCGTGCTTGAGGCAGGGCCTCCCCTCAAGACAAGGCCCGGGCTTGGGCTAAACAGTGCTGTTCGTTTCCGTGCTGCTCTCGTGTTCCCTCGTCCAATGTTAATTCTGCCCTTGCTGCGAAACAAAAGCAGCACGAAAACGGCCAAAGGAATCGCCCAAACACCGCGTACTTCGAGCCCTGGACAGAACTGGCTCTCAGTTTGAGGACATGTAGCTTCTCTGGCAGGGCTTGGGCGCGCAAAACACTGGGCGGACGAAAATTGGCGGGGGGAGCAACCTGCCCTTTTCGGACCCTGAAGGCCCCCCCTGATGGGCCCGAAAGGGCCCCTCTAGGGTCCCTAAACGCCCGTTTTCGGCAGCCTCCGCTGCCCTTCCACTTATGGCCGCCCCAACGGGAATTTTGAGGGTGTCCTTCCGATGTCTTACGGCTTCCCGAATGTGTCCTGAGGGTGCTATGACAATCCCCCGAGGATGTCCTGAGGCGCCCCAGTAAATCTTCAAGCCTCCCTCAGGAGTCATCACGACTTCTCCCAAAATTTGAGAATGAGCAAACCAAGGCCAAAGACCCAAAGGCTCGGGCCGCATCCCGGGACCGACTGTCCCGGCATTCCTATAAGCCTACCACGACATGTGTTTAGACCCCAAAAAATGCTCCAAAAACAAAAACGATGCGCTCATAACCGAAGCCCGACGCGCTAAACACAAGACCATCTCAGCCAAAGCACATTCCGTGCAGACCACAAGGAGGTTCTCAAAACATTATCTGGTGGGACTACAGGCGAGCTAGGACGCTTCGCCACTGCTCCTCCTCCCCCACCTCCGGGAGGGAGGGGGAGGAGGAGGAGGAGGAGGAGGGGGAGGGAGGAGGAGGAGGAGGGAGGAGGAGGAGGAGGGGGAGGAGGGGGAGGAGGAGGAGGAGGAGGAACCCCCTCCGGAAGCAGGGCGTCGGCCAGAGGGCCGTGGCCCCGAGCAGCCGGCAGCCGGGGGCGCTCGGAGAGCGGAGGGGCGGCCGACGCTCTGCCGCCGCGGCCCCGCGGGAGGGGGCCGTGCCGCGGCCCCCGGGGGGGTGCCCATCGCCGCCGCCCTCGGGGTGCAGACGAGGGCGCCCCCGCGGCCCGCCCGACCGCGCCCGCCCGCCACCGTCCCTTTCGCCTCCCCCCCTTTTCTTCCCTCGTCCTCTTCGTCCTCCTCTTTCCCGCCCTCCTCCGCCTTTGACCTAGGTCAGAAGCGCATCCCTCAAGAACATGAAAGCCTCCGCCAGCCAAAGCACACAAGGTCCAAGGGCACCCTCCTCATGTTGCACGAACACATCCAACAAAAACACGAAAAACACCACCGACCTCGATCTTCTACCTCGGCCCGGCTGCATCACGAGGCCGCAACACGACGACCGCCGACCGAGCGAACAACGACGATCACGAGCGACGGACGATGACGAAGAACGACAGCGAACAACGAACAATGAACACGATGGAGCGAACAAACGAACCAACGGCGACGACGGACGAACGACGAACGCGAGCGACGACGAGGAACGACGGCAGCGCACGGCGAGGAAAGACGAGCGACGACGAGGAGCAGCGACGCCGAGCGACGAACCCCGCACACCCCTGCCCGACCCCAAGCGCTCACCCCGTGGGCGGAGCAGAAACGCCCCGGCAGCCGCGGCGACGCGGGCGGAGAGAACGGACGCGACGGGCGGACTGCGGCGAGCGGCTTGCAAATCTCGGCCCTGCGCTGCCCCGGAGAGCCGACGACGACCGACGGACGACGAGCGAGCGGCGGCGGCGGCGACGAGGGCAACAACGACCGGCGACGGCGAGCGAGCGACGACAGTGGCGACAACGGCGAGCGACGACGGCAACCACGGTGAAGGCGCCGACGACAGGCGACGACGAGCGAGCGACGACGGCGGCGGAAATGACGACGACCGACGAAAACGCGCGGCGACGGCGCTGACGATCCAGGAACAGCCACGACAGCTCGGAGGCCCGCGCGGATTTCGCAAATCGGCGCCGGAGGGAAGCCCAATGCCGATGCAGGATACCCGCACTGACCTCCAGAGGTTTGCGCTCAAGCAGCTTCTCCCGTTCTGCGAGAAGACGTCGACGAGCGACCTGCGGCGGCCTCGACGACGAAGGCAGCGACGCCCGGCGACGGCGAGCGAGCGACGACCGCGGGGACACCGACGAGCGACGATCGCGAAGACAAACAATCTGCGCGGGTCTCCAAAGAGCTGCGGTTACGTGCGCCATTATTCGTGGAAGACGAAGCTAGGACGGAGACAACATCGGGTACGACTGAATCTATAGACTCTCTGAGATCTGGCGGTTCTGGAAACTGTCTCGGGCGGCGCGGCCTTCTCATAGCGTTCCGGAACGCTCTGAGATGGACTTATCCTCGTCCCAGCCCCGTCGGAACCTTTAGGAGGCAACTACTGGGAGGTCTTCGTCGGAAAGTTTATCCTCATCCCCTAAAGCCAGGAGCGCCAAGCTCGAAGAGCATTAGATACTACATGTCACATCGAGCTGACTTGTCATACTCTGTCTGCGCAACATCTTGATGACCGGACTGGGCTGAGCAAGGGGCCTCGAAAACCTGCGAACTCGAGGCCACAAGCAGCTGAGAAAACCTCCCTGAGATAACCTCCTGTTGACAACATTGCAGGGCAGTTTTTAATACATGTTTAAAACATCTATGGGATTTGTAATACATGATTAATTTATGAATAAATTTATGCATGAACTCATCGTTGTGTGTAATGCTAAATCCCTGCGTTTTCAATGCATGATCCGCACGCGGAGCATGCACTAAAAACGGCATTGTAAAGGGAAGGAGAGCGGTGGGGACGGTGGCGGTGCACTTGAGCCGCGGAGACGGCGGCCGAGCGGGAAGAAAAAATGGGGTCAGAGAACATGTGCGCCCTCACCCCCCTAAAACCAAGAGTGCCAAGCTCGAAGATAATTAGATACGACATGCCATATCGAGATGGCGTTTCATACTCTGTCTGCGCAACAGCTTGATCACCATACCAAATCGAGGCCACAACAAACTGAGAAAACCCCCCAGACCCGTACTGTGCTCTGGACCCGCAAATTTATAAAAAACTGGGTCATCCACAGCCTGCGGCAGCCGACAGGCGTGACAGATAAAGAGCGTTGACAGAAAGTGGGAGCCAGGCTGCGCCAGCTTGTCCAAGATTCCAAAGGCACTGAGAGGCAACAGTGGCCAAATTCACCGAGCTGCCTGGGATCTTGCCAACAAGGACAAGGTGCGGACGATTCGAGAAGCAGCTGACACCGTGCCCGTGGCACAAGCGATTGGCATGGGGCAAGCTTGGCGTCCAGCACCCCACGAGCCGAACCCGCTTCCTCCATCCAGCTCCAAAAGAAAACTGTTCCAGCACAAACTCACGTGCCGGTGGAAGCGACCGGAGCCTATGCAGACCTGGCTCTTGCCAGGCCAACGACGAACGTGGATTCTCACACATCATAGGGACACGAAAACGCACGCAGGCCCGAAAGAACGGCCACGTGCTCGCCAGGGTACGGCTTCCCGCCCGAAGGCGTTTGGTTTGGGCTATTGTCGGATCGGGAATGCCATGCAAGCGCCAGAAATCTCAGAATTTTGTGAACATGACGGCTGGACAACGACGAGCAAAGGAGGGAAACCAGATACCCCTTACAAGGTCCGCCAAGATCCACCCTAAGATATGGTTTAGCACGCCACGATCAATCAAATCAAACTCAGGACCCTGTACACTCTCGAAGGCAACACCAGCCCCCCCCCGCCCCCCCCTTCACACACACACGCACTGTTTCAAGGCATGCAACACAGGGGAAGGGCAAAAGAAAAGGTCATGGAACATCTTGCCAATGGGCGATCGACTCATAACCGTGTGAAGATGCTTCTGGAGCCGTCGACGCACGTCCTGCACTGCCAGTCTGTGGCTAGCACCGCCCATTTTATGATCAGGACTCAGGCGCTCCGCCGCCCCCGCCCTCCGGCCTGCTTCAGCAGCAGGGCGCGCATGATGGGCGGTTGCGGGGCAGCGCGCTTGCCTGTCAGTATCTCCGGCAACTGGTTGGCGACATGCAGCCCGTTCTCGCGGGCAGTGACTGTCATGTTGTCGGCCTGCTTCAGAACGCGGGCGTGCTTCTCGCGCCTGCGTGCCGATGAGTCGGCGCGCCGCCTGCCCCTCCTCCCCACCTCCTCTCAGGTCCTGCGACCTCGAAGGGCGTCGTCTGAAGCTCCCCCGTGTCTGAGCATGCGCGGATGGGGCCGAATGTTCGACAGGTCGGCCAGCTCCACAAGCCGGGCGAGGTTCCTGGAGAAGGTCGCTGAGTCGAATGACCACAGGCACCGAGTCGAAGGCGATGCCTTCACTGGCGGAAGAAGCCCTGGATGGGGCCCAAACTCCACGCTGTCGAGCAGCAAGCAAACTCAACGTTGTCGAGCAGCAAGCTCCCGTCGAACTCGCGAGTCTTCGATGCCACCGAGAACTCCGACGGCGCTAGCAGCAGAGCCCAGAACGTGGTCCCCGTGCCAGGATGCAGAGGGACAAGCTGGCCTCCTGTGAGCGTCAGGCCTTCCGTGGGCGGAGGTAGGTCCTGAACATCAACGCAAGGCAGAACGCCGACGCCTGCCAGCCGATCGCCATGTCCGAGCCGACCATCGCACAGAGCGCGAGCCGAGGGAATCGGGCGCGGCTCAGCCCAGGCGCCAGTCGGCGAACCCCCCGAAGAGCGTTCTTCGCCCTTGGGTGCAGGGTGCCGACTGGGACCTTCAGCTCGGGGGTGCGGAACTCCATGCTGGCGATCACCTTCTCGCCCGCATCGTGGTTGAACCCGTTGAAGTACAGGTCCTGGAGGTGCACCAGCAGCGCCGCGTCGATCTCGGCGGGCGTGGACAGAGGCACCCCTGCCGGCGTTGCCCACCTGCGGAAGTCGGAGAATCACCGATCGCACAGCGTCGCCGAATCGAGCGTCGCGCGGTTGACCTCCAGGAAGTGCGAGCCCAAATTCCTGCGCAGCGTCGCGTGAGACTGATGAGCCTCGACTCGCCGTCGAACTCGGGCGCGGCGCTGCTGCGCGCCCACCCTCGACCTCAGAAGCGGCCCCCTCGCTGTCGGACAGGCTGCTGGAGTCGACGGCGCTCGCCGCAGAATGTCAATCGCCAATGGCGCCGTCGGCGCCGGGAGGCTCGAGCGGCGGAGGGGCCGCCCACCAGCTGCCGCCGCCTGCGCCAGCGGCGTGTCCACGCCCGAGCTCGTCGCGGGCAAGGGCCTCGACAGCAGCTACAAAAACGCGACGCTGCAACGTGCCATGCGACGCACGACACTGGACAAACACACTGTGGCCTCGGATAACGCCTCGGAGAAGGCCTGGGAAAGGAAGGGACGCCGAAAGAAGGGGAGAAAGAGAGGACGCGGCTCTTCTCACTCAAACTCTCAAGTCAAGTCAAGTCAAATCAGGTCAGGTCAAGTCAAGTCCAGTCGAGGGGCCTGAGGGCCGCTCGCTCCGCAAGCGGAGACTGAGGGCGTGAAACAATACGGCAACAACACGCTCATGCAAGAGAAATGGTGGATCTAAACATCGATATGAAGCTCTATCTCACATCGTGCGTTCCACCACATGTAATTCAAACATGCAGTCTCCAACCGCTGCCAGGGGAAAGGCTCTTGGCGACCTACAACATGTGATAAACTCGTACCTCGCTCTTGTCCTAAGAAAGAATCGACGGCATCTGTCCATCTACGCCGTGGCCGGCCTCGGCGTCGAACTTCGGGCGGGCGCCATCGTAACATTTGCGCTGGCCACGTTTCCGGGTCGCCAGTGGCAAGACGCGCCACAAGGCGCCACAGTGAGTGATCCATCACAACGAGACAGTCTGACACAGTCTTCTCACTCAAACTCTCACCTCCAAAAATACACAGGGGCCGAACTTGAAACAAAAAGGAAATATGGGAATTTAATGTTTATCAAATTGCCGTGCGTGGGCTGTGGGTCAGAAGTCACCTGGATGACTGCCATGGTCTGTTGGGATGCCCCTCTCGGGACCTTCTTGGTGGCGTCTTAAGAGATTGTTCGGGGCCTGTCAGTGGGCCCTTGGTGCCTCCTGGGAGCCTCCCGGAAGTGTCTGAAGGCATCTGGGGGGCGCTTCGAGAGCCTTTGGGGGAACCTTGGGGCCATCTTAGTGCACGGCGCTCGAAAGGCTTGGGGAGGTCCTCTCTTCTGGCTCCCTCCTGGTGCGCGCGCTCAAGTTTTAGCTATGCTGGGCAGATTCACTCATGGGATCTAGATTGAGGGCCACCTTGTCCAGAAGAGAACACGAAGACGGCCCAAGAGAGTTCCAAGACAGCGTCAGAGAGTTCAACAGCATTCCCGATAAACCTTCGAATTGTGACCCCGAAGTCTTGATGGGGCCAGGGGTGATGTTCTAGAAAAAAAGGGAATCGCTGGAATTTCCTTTTTTCAAGCATCCTACCATGTAGTGCGCAGGAATCGGGAGGCCAACGAGGCCTGCAGGGGGTTCCTAGGAGGCAGTTTTGAGGCCTCTCTGGGGCTATGTTTGGGGCCTCGTGGGTTTTTTCTTGGGCCTCTCAGGGGTCTGAGGTTTCTTGGGGGCCTCTGGGCGATCCTGGAGGCCTCTCGGGGGCATCTTGTGGCATCCTGCTCCCGCTCTCGGGCCCATCTTGGGCCTGTCCTGGGGCCCTCTTGGGCCGTCTTGGGCGCCCCTTGGGCAATCTGGAGGCTCTCTGGGGCCGTCTTGGGCTCTCTTGGGGGCCTCTTCGGCCGTCTTGGGACGGTCTTGGGGGCCTCTTCGGCTGTCTCGGAGCGTTGGGAGCACGAAAACGCAAGATTGCCAACCACCTCGAAAAAACACATGACAGTGTAACGATGCTACCGGGCTCTCTCGGGACGGCTCTCGGAGCTCTCTTGGGCTGTTTTTGGAGCCTTGAGGGTTTTTGATGTTGGGCCTCTCGAGAATCTAAAGCTTGTTGGGGGCCCCATTGGGGGTCCTGGAGGCGTCTCGGGGGCCTCTGGGGGCCGCCTGCTCCCGCCCTCGGGCCTATGTTGAGCGTCCTGGGACGCTCTTGGCCCGTCGTGGGCGCCTCTTGAGTCTTGAGTCTCGAGTCTGGGACCGCCTTGGGCTCTCTTGGGTACCTCTTCGGCCGTCTTGAGGCAGTCTTGGGAGCCTCTTCGGCTGCCTCGGGGCGTTGGAAGCTCGAAAACGCGAGAAGGCCAAACACTTACTGAAAAAACAATGGAGATCAACGATTTCCCATTGTTCTCAATTCGACTGGGCGACGAATCACTGGAGGAAGTCTGCGATCTGCGCGCAGAGCGAAACGCTGATGGGTCAAAGGTAGCGGCGATGGTTCCAACCACACAAGCTCGCTCCTGACCGCTACTGCTGCGATGCAAAACATGCACATGGCACGGTTAAAAATACGTGAAAGCGTCCACCGTCTGCAAACAAAGCACTGGCTCTGGACTGCTCCAAGCACCACGTGGGGCACATCTCATGAGCAAACTTATGGCACCTCAAAGGTTGCCAAAAAACACAAGCCACGGCGCTGGCCGAAGAGGGGGGACGTCTGCGCGAGGACCTCCCGCGCTCCACCACCGCCCCCCCCCCGCCCCCCCCCCTACCCCCCACGCCACCGTCCCAGACCAGCCCCGCCCGAATCGTCGTAGACATCGGCCACCGACAACTGGCTGGTATCTTTGCCCACTCCAGTCGCAGGGACATGCGCAGGTAGTGCACTGATATCTGTACGATCGTCCCGTGGGAGATCCATGGGAGACGCATCTAGAATCAGATCAAAAGAACAAGAGTTGATCCGGTGCAGATCTGGGGCTTGGATTGCACCAGCCCGGTGTCCTACCTGCTGCTCAGCACGGGCCTGCCTAAACAACGTGCTGTTGCTTAGAATTTTGGCGCTCAAAATGGGCGTGGCCCTGCACGGGTACAAGGAGGAGAAGATGCACGAGGGGGGAATACTGGGGTAGAAGGGGCAAGGGTCGAAGTTGACCCCATGGTCAGCGGAAGGCGAGGTAGCTGTCGGAAGGAAGGTAGACGCAGGCGTTGCAACTATGTTTGGTGGAGGGCGGCCTCAGGCGGTTGGGACCTACAATCGGGTTTACCAAGCGTCGGGTTTGGCGTTGGTGGCGATGGCGTTCGAAGTAACGACAAGTGCGCGGTCCTCAGTGGTAACGCCTTCATTCTGCTTCTCAAAGAAGACACGCCCGAAACTGCCCATAAACGCCAAACCAACGATGGAGACGAGACATACGCTTCTGACTGATACGTAGCGGCCGCCCCACGTGGTAGGCGACGAGCATTGGACCTCGACACTTGTGGACTCGATTGATTGAAGTTCGTTTTTAGGAAGCTTGCCTATGAACATCAACGGTGTTGGGCTCTTCGGGCCCTCTCGGGACGCCTCTCAGATTTTTTGCATCCAAATCAAGCATGACTTCAGGCGCCCAGCCTTTGCTGGAACTTGCGCGAATACTAGCATAATCCGATGCACGAACCTCTTTGAGGTTCCGTAGGCATGCCACGCAACATCTATCGACACTTCACAGTGAAGTTGATCGGTTTCGATATCTGTCCGGTGTGCATGTCGACCGAGCAGGACGCGTTGAATGCCCAGGGCGCCCGTGGGTAGCAATCCTTGCAACGCGAAACGACACACCACCGGTCTTCACTGCCAGACGTGCCCCCTGAATGGCACCTGCCGTCCACAAAAGGCAAATAATCAGAGCCATGCGATTCGTTGGTCTCTTCGTCAAACTTCATCTGGCGATAAGGAACGCCGTTGGCGACGATCACATGTTTCAGGACCTGCTCGGTATTGATTGACTCCATTGACATCTTCTTCAGCCTCGGATCCAACACTGGGTCGTTCGTAACCGCGAGCATGGAACGATAGATGTCACCCAGCGTCTTCTCAAGGTAGCTGCGCGGAAGTAGCATGACCTTGTCCTGAAGACCCCCCCAAGACGCGCAATGCTTGAAAGTGACCTCCGTGACATTCAGAAGCTTCTCTGGCACCACCGGTCGCAACGCAAGAGTGTTGTCTCGCACCTTCAACACGAGATCGTATCGGCCACCTGTGGACTCCTCGTGCTCTTGAATGAGATCGGCACATTCCTGTTGGTGTCTCATCTGGCTCATCACGTTGGCAATGTGTTTAGCCCTGGCTGAACGGTCAGAGTAAGTATTACTCGGGTGCTTGCACTTGTACAACATTGGCCACCTATCCAGCGCGACGTTCTCGCTCTTGTGGGGTTCCAACCTGCCGCCCCTGAAGTCAGGCGCGAATGCCTCTTTCACTGCCTCCACTGAAGAGGCGGTGCTGCTGCATCCCTCCTCGCCCGTGGTGTCCGTCTCCTGGTTATTGTAAACTGCACCACCAACCCCAAGAGACAAGAAAAAGTCAACGTTGACGAAATTGGCGATGGGTTCTGCGATATTCTGAATTTTGCTGTCGATCTCCAGGCGGGCCATTTGGCCAGATATGCACACCGCAACTCCGAGGCTGGAAGCTTCTTCGCTGACGGGGCCTGGGAACACGACACCCCCTTTCTCACGACCGCTCAGCGCAACGATGGCCCCCGCGATGCCCAGGATGGTAGCGGCCAGAACGGCGGCAGTGCGTCTCTCGAAGTGCTGCTGTCGCTGGCGAGCTAGCGGCACAATATGAGCGCCGACTTGCTGCGCGAAGAACAGATCTTGCTCCTCAGACGAGGGCACCGCTTCGGGATCGCCTCCGCTCACGATGTGACTGGCTGCTGCCCTGGACATGGCCTCCAGAAAGCAACGCATTGAAGCCACTGTGGGGAAACAATCGCCTCTGTACTCGACCAGGTGCTGTCTAGCGTCGGCGCCCCCTACTGCTCGGCACGCCGCCGTTGGCCGGGACGCTCCCGAACCCTAGGCTGGCCTTGAGCCAACATGGCTACGGAAGGACGCCTCTCGGAGGTCTCTTGGGGCCTCTTGGAGGCCTTTTGGTTAACTCTTCGGCGATCCTGGAAGCCTGGAAAGCCGTCGGAAGGTTTTCTTGGGCTATTTTTGTCGCGTTCGGGGGGTTCTTTGGGGGCGTCTTGGGCCGTCCTGGGGCGTTTTGGGGCTTCCCTGGGAAACTCCGGGGGGCGGCAAGGGGGATTGTCCGCAGATGTCCCGGAGGTGGAAGCCGGGGCCCAGGGGGTGACCGTATGTATATATATATATATATATATATATATATATATATATGTATGTGTATATATGTATATACTCATGTAAATGTAGACCAGAACTTGATTGGCTAACTCATGTAATGTCATGTTGGTTGTTTCTTGCGTGCAGCGGTTCCCTTGGAGGCCCTGCGCAAGCCTCGGAATCGCATAGAAGGGGAAGTGCGGAAACGCAGAAATCGTTCATTCAAATTATGTATTCAACGATTTGGGGCCATCATAAGCTTCCTGGGTCTTTTTTGGGAGGTGAAAGGGGTCTGAATTGTGGTCTGTTGTGCAAGAGTAGACCGGGGGCCAAACTGGGGCAAAAAAAGGAACTGTGGGATTTCCACTTTTTTCCACTTCCTCGGCGCTGTTCGGCGCTGTTCTTTGTTTGCGCCTCGCGGGTTTTGTTTGCCGGGCCCTTCAGGGGTGCGGGATCTTCTGGGCCCCCTGGGTTACGACGGGCCTGCCTGCTACAGGCAGGAAACCAAAACATTGGTGCAACATTGGTGTCGGTTTTGCCGCCATGCTTGTTTCGGCGTCTGGTTTCTCTGATGTATTATTAGTGTTTGTTTTGCTGCGCCCCCCTCGTCTGCTCAAATGTTGCTTGGCGCGCCGGTTGTCGCGGCGATTGCCGCGCGCTTGATGCGCGCCGCAGCGTTACATTGCCGTTTGTTTGCCGCGGCGCTTCCTGCAGCGCCGGCCTGCGACTTCGCTGGCCGCGGGATTCCCTCGAAGCTGCTTGTCGCAAGGTTGTTGCAGCGCTTGTTGCGCATGGCTCCGAGAATTTGGCAAAACATGTGTGCTTTTGTGAAACGGGCAGCAACAACACAACAACATTGTTTTGCTAAAGTATATGGTGCGTGCGTTTTTTGTACGTGTTGTCTGCCCGGTTGTATGCTGTGCAATGTTGAATGAGGCGTTGGTGCGCGCGTTCTGGGGGCCTCCCGCGGGCGTCGCGGGGGTCTGCCCCTCCGCCGCGCGCCGCTAGCCACTTGGGCCTGGGCGGCCCGTCGGCGGGATTGAACTCGCCGGGGGCTCAGCGACTGTTAAACTCCGCGTCGCCTGCGAGACTGAGGGCGCGCAACTGGCGAAGGTGGCGATTGGTTCTAGGACGTGTAGCTCTCCCCCTCCCCCGTGCCACGATGGATGCAAGTTTGTCGCCACTGTTGACACGTCGATGATGGAAGCTTTCAACTGCGCGAAGCCGATGACGGGCTGCAATAAAGGTAGCGGCCCGCTGTAGACGCAGCGGCCCCTCGCGCTCAGCTGCTGGCTGCTGAAGTCGCCGATGACGCGCTGGTCGACGTGGCTGAAAGTGACGCCCACGGTCAGCGTCCGCGAGGCCGTCGGACTGGGCGGGGGCCGTCGCCGCGGGGCCGGCGGCGGCCGCGAGCGCAGCTGCGCGAGCCTGCGCGGCGTCGGCTACTGCGAACCGCCGGCGCTCCTGCTGTCGGCCCCAAGTCCGAGCCTGCTCCGCGCAATGGAACTTCCGCGCGACGTCGGAGCCCCCGTCGTCGACGAGGTTGTCGCCCTCAGAGTCGGCGGCGGCGACGCAGTCCAACCAGGGACGATTGGCGGCAACGCGGGCCAGCGGGGGCAGCGGGGCCACCCGCTCGAGCCTGCGCCGAACAGACGGCCAGAGCGGCACCCGCCCCAGGCCCGCCCTGTCTACGAAGCGGCAGCGCTCGCGCGGCAACGAAAGCGAAAGCCGTCGATGGATAGCGGACAAGGTGCAGTGTCCCAGCAGGGAACGCATCCCAGGCCCGCTCGCACGCCCGTCCGCCAACGCGTGAAACAAGGCGAGCCTGATCTTCCAGCACCTCACGTGGCCGACAGAGATACGGCCCGAGGCGCGGTGCAGGTCCAAGCCCGCGAGGCGCGCGACGTCGGGCCCATGTTCGATAGTCTCGCAATCCAGCCCGTCGGCCCCCACCTGCCTGAACACCGCGTCCGCCGTGACTGTGCCCCGCTCCTAATCCGCGCCAATGATCGCCGCGTTGTCGACGCAGACGGCAGCCGCAACCCTCGACTGTGAAATCGGAAACTGGCCTCTTGTCCCTGAAGAACTGAGTGGTGGGGGTGCCTTCCGTCTGAACTGAGGCCGTCGCCATCTGTTGGGAGAAGTGTAGCGCCCATGACCACCCCGTGGCCATCACCTCGAAATGTGGGCTGATCAAATCGGCATCCGAGATATCACAACCAGCTGCCAGTTGACGGATCAGCCGGCCAGAAACCCGAGACATCACAAAATTGTCAGATACTCCAGGAGGCGCACGGATGCGGTGGAAAGCGCACTACACATCCATCTGCGAGAACACCAGCTGTTCCTTTGGCTGCAGCTCCACGCTCGCCCACGCACCAAGCGCGGGAAAGACGGTGTGCTCTGCCTCCCGGAACCGTGCGTTCACCAGCCTGGTGTCCTGAATCAGACGTTGCTTGCCGTTCATCTTCCTGGCGATAAATCCGCCGACAGTCAGCCCTTGCGGGGCCGAAAAGGGCACAACCCCAGGGAGTGCACATCGGCGATCAGCTTCGCACGCGTCAACTCGCCCCTAATCAAGGTGGGATCGGAGAAGGCTTCGCAGGTTATCCAATCGTGTCAGGCGTGCCCCGGTCGCTCCGCATGAGCGCCTTGACGCACTTGCCCCAGCGGCACAAGGAATCGCCGGTCAGCACCTTGGCGCCGTCAGAAAATCCGCCTCGAGATGGCAAGGATATCAGATCATACTTGGAAGCAACGCGGGGATCAGCGTCATCATGTCCCGCTCCTGCGCCGCCAGCCTCTTTGAAGGCTTGCGCGGCCGCGCATGGTGGGGGTGGTATCGCTCGGAAGACCTCTGCGAGAATCCGATGCGTCTCGCGCTGAGCCCGCGCCCCGAAAACGACCTGCCCCAACCTGACGCCGCACGTGCCGTTGATGCTCCCCACCGCAGCGTTAGCAGCAACCTGCCAGTGACACCTCACCTTCAACCGCTTCCTGACTGAACGCGCCAGAGAACCAGACTCAACTGAATTTGCCTGCGAGGCATCGCAGAACGGCGCCGTCATCGGAAAGAGCTCTCTCGCATCGGGCTGGCGCCGTGGAGCTGTGGGCCAGGCGGGCAAGCTGGCCCATGAGACAGTCATGCCTCGGGCGCGGCGGTCGGGCCCGCCGTGGCCTTGTTGCCCTTGCCCTTAACCGTCGCCTTGGACTTTGGGTTTGCAGGGGCGCCCGTCAGCGAGCGCAGCGGGTCGGCACCTGAGACGATGGCAGCAACGGCCGCCTGGCTGGGAACGAGGGCTGGAGACGCGCGAGCCAACTGGCCACCGTACTCTTCCTGTGGAGCTCAGCGGCAACATTTTCTTCCAAGGCTGGGCACGTCATGATCAGCCCTCTGGTCTCTCCCAAGCCGGGGTAGAGAAACTCGTCGATGGCCACATCATCCCCGTAATCGTCGGGTCTCAAGAGCAAACGACGGTAACTGAACTCAGCCAGCTGCGCCGTCCGAAAAAAAACTCCGCAATCACAAGCTCGGGCGCATTCAACTTATTATACGTGTCTAGACCTTGGCCATCTCATGGTCGGACACACCAAAAAAACCACTCGTGAACCGGCACGTGTGCTTCCGCCACGTGTGCCTGGCTCTGGGGTGTCCGTTGGTCTGGACAATGAGAGTGAAGCACCACGCCACCGTGCGAGGCCCCGTCAAAGGCCAACTGTCCCACACGCTCTCGGTAGAGCAGTCGATGGCCTCCTTCACATCCTTGTGGCGCTTGCCCAACTTGTCACGCGAGATCTCAAGGATCGCGGCGTCCAACTCAGGCGATGTCGCGGAGGCCGGCTCTACATAATCTACAAGTACGGCCAACTCTCAATTGCGGCTGACATGCGCAACCCCAGGAGCGTACAGGTACTTATCCTTAGCGTCGGTGCCGAAATCGGTGTCGTTGAGCCCGGCCAGGCACGCGCCGCCACCCACCCGTAGCAGGAGGCACATGGCAGAGCCCACGCGCCAGAGACACGCCCTTCACCAGGTCCAGCACGGCCTGCTCCTCGGCGCTCTTGCAGCGCTAGAAGAAGTTCCGCGGGCACGATGCCGAGGTCGGCTGCGCCCTCAGCGCCAAGGTCTGGTGGACCTGCCAGACCACCCCGAAGACGGCGACGAATACCACCCCCCTGGGCTACCGCGCCTAGGCCGGCTCGCAGCGCCTCCGCGAACGCTGCGGGCGTCGGCAACGGAGAGAATGCGTACACCCGATTCAAATGTGAGGTGCGGCCGATCGCTGAGCCTGGAACGAGGGTCCCGTCTGGCGTAGTTCCCACGATGCCCACAAGAGGTGGGACTGTCAGCTCTTCGGGGTGCACGTCGAAGTCTGGAGTCATAATCCAATAGATCACCTCGGTGTCTGTGTAAAGATCGTCCGCCATCACTCGACGGTAAACTTCGAGCGGACAACGGCACATAACGACGCGGGGATGCTACAGGCGAGGCTCGTCGGCGTATCTCACCTGAACCTCGCGCACAGCCAGCAGATAGTGACCGCCGAGCGTTGCCGCCATTGCAACAGGCCTGGTAGATCAGCGTGAGCCCGACACCGAGCAGCACACCAACGATGAGGCACACACTGCAGACTTGATAGGGCTTCTTAGAACCGAAGGCTGGATCGTACACGTCAACGCCTGCTCTGCCAGCGGTCGGAGAACTGGAGAGGCGAGTGACGCCACCCGCGCCACACTGGAGAGGATACCCATAAATTTGTGGCGCCGCCAGAATTGCACTTGAGCCGCGGAGGCGGCGGCCGAGCGGGAAGAGGAAAGGGGTTCAGAGAACAAAGGCAAACCGGATGAAGCCCCATTCCTGGTCTGTTGGTCTGTTGCGCTGGAAAGGCCTCGGATTCAGCGGGATGAAGCTGGATGAAGCGGGATTAAACGTGATTAAGCCGGATAAAGCGGGATTCAGCCGGATTGAGCTCGACTTCGGCCTAGGGCAAAATCAGAATTTGACCTCCCAGGAGTTCCCTCCGAACGAACTGTTCCTGCTCTTCGAAGCGACGACTACGACGACGAGCGACGATCGGCGCCGCGGCGCCTCGGCGATGTCGTCTGGGGACAGCCACTGCGCCGTGTCGGCGCCCTCCGCCTGACGAGAAGGCCGGGCCGGGAAGGGTCGCCGGCGCGCGGGAGGGAGGACGAAGGAGGGAAGAGGAGGGAGGGACGAAGAGGGAGGGATGGAGAACGAGGCAGGAAGGTTAGGAGGCAACTACAGGGAGGTCTTCGTCGAAGGGATGAGGGAGAATTGAATCCCAGTGGGGGGTTGCTACGCCGCATTCGGCCGCGGATTTCAATAAGCGGGATTAAACCGGATCCAACGGGATTAAGCTGGATTTCGGACCAGGGCACAATCAGAAGTTGATCTCCCAGGAGCTGCATCCGAAAAGCCCACCTCCCCGCCCGAGGCTGCGCCCCCCCTCGCGCGGGTCCCGCCGACAGGGCCCCCCACCCCCCGCTTAGGGCGGGCATGCCCCCTTTCAGGCACCAGGCTGACCTTGGACAAAATTATAATAAGCCAAAAAGCATCAAACAGATATGTTCCAAAGCTCGTCCCCTGACTACTTTTTGACTATTTTCGGATACCCCTCCTGTAGAGGGACACGCCAGACTTAAAACTAGCCCAGGCCCTCGGAATGATCAGCGTTCGCCGAAGGCGAGGCCTCGACTGCCGCTCGGGCGGCCACGGAGAGCCTGTCGCCGGAGCACCTCTCAACTCCTCCTCGGAGAGCAGAACCCACACGAAAGCAGATTTAGGTCGGGCCAGGTTATATATATATATATATGTACGTATGTCAACACATCTATGTATATTCGTACATATATATATACATATATGTTTATATATATATATATAAACACACGTGTATATACAATATCCTGTGAAAGGGGCGCGCCGGACTTCAGAACAGCTCTGAATCCAGACCGAGGCGGGGCGCCACGGGCTGTTTCGAGAACGGAGCCGCCCTCGGGGCCCTGGGACCAACCGCCGTCCACGACAGGGGGCCTCCCAGAAGCGTCTCGAGAAACGGGCCCGCGTCTCCAGCGACGGGGCCGTCGGCGGCGCAAGAGCCACGACAGGAACTTCTTCCGCAAGGTCTACGCCGACCATCCAGTGATACGCTCCCCCAGAACTGTCCAAAACCGCCCGTTCCAATTCTTGTTTGGAGCGTCAGGGTTCGTGCGACCGGGCGCTCCGCGATGAGCAGGGGCCGACCGTCCTGGCATTCCTATAGGCCTACCACGACATGTTTTTAGAACCCATAAATGTTCTGAGAGCAGTAACCATGTTCTCGGAACGCAACCCCGGTGTTACAACAAGTTAGCCTCAGCCAGACATGCTCTAAGAACATTTCGCTCAGAGCACAACAGTTTCTAAAAACATTATTTGGTAGGCCTATACGCAGGCGTCCACGCTTCGCCAATGTTTGACCGCGGGGCGGCAAGGGCCGCCCGGACGGCCGGCAACTTCGCCATCGCCCCGGCCGCCAGAGGCGCGGCGGCGGGGCGGCGGGCGCGGCGCCGCGGAGCCGGCTGCGCGCACAAGGGCGACGGTGCGCGCGCGGGGAGGGGGGCGACACCGCGCGCGCGGTGTCGAAGAGGGACAACTCCGACGCGAATTCGTAGGGGGCGATCAATGGGGGGGGAAGAGCGGTGCCCTTTTCCGACAGACGCCTTGCGCGCGGGCCCCGGGCGAGCCAGGCCGTGCGTGCTGCGGCAGGAGGCTGTACCATGCCGCCCTCCTCCTCCTCCTCCTCCTCCTCCTCTTGCTCCTGCTCCTGTTCCTGTTCCTGCTGTTTTTGCTGCTCCTGCTGCTGCTGTTGCTGCTGCTGGTGCTGCTCCTCCTCCTCCCCCTCATGCTCCTGCTTCGGACTCCACTGGGAAAAGGATCACACCACTCTACAACTATAACACTACGAAGCTGCCTGCACCCGCCCGCACGCAAACCTCACCTCGGCGGCGATCGGGTCGGTGCCGAGGGCGAGCAAGTCGACGTCAGCAGCTGCGAATTGGACAATTCGCTCCAGCGTGGCCCTCCACTTGGGCACCAACCTCGGCGCGGCCAGTGCGTCGCGCAAGCAACAGCCGGCGTGCGCGGCGATGAGCTCCAGCGAGCGTGCCGTCTCAGGCGCTATTATCCAGTACGTCTCGAAGACCACGGGCATGACGTCGGTGCCGTAGCGGTTCCTCTTCTCTGCCACGGCCGCGGCGGCTGCCTGCCCAGGGGTGGTTGCCGCCTGCGCGTACCGGGCGGCGTGGGGGCAGCGGATCGCGACGTCGATGTACAAGGGCTGCACGCCCCGAGGGAACGTCGCCGCCAGGTCCATCACGGCCTCCTTGACGACGCCGGTGTCACCAACCCGCACGAGCTCGGGGACCACGCGCTCGATGTCCACCTCTGCGCGGCATGCCCGCAACACCTGGGCAAGAGCGTGCGAAAGCGCCCGGCGGGGGCGCATGCGCGCAGGGCCCTGCTTGCAGAGCTGCTGGTGGCTGAGAATGGTGTCCATGGGTTGCCCGCGCACCTCAGTGCCATCCTGCCCGCGGCGCGGGATCCGGCAAGTAGCGCCTCTGGGAGCCCCCACGGCGCCAAGCCGTCTCAGGGAAGCCGCCCTGAAGAACGAGCTCGGAAACCACTCCGCCGGTGCACTGGGCATCTGGATCCACAGGGCGCCCGCGCCAGCACCTCCGGCAGACAGCAGCGATAGCGTCGAGGTGCCGAAAAATCCGGCTCGCAAACCTTCTCGGCATGTTTGCGGGTTCAGCGCCGGGGGCCACCTCTGGAGCCGACGCGCCCGCGTGCAGCTGGAGCGCGCCCAGGGCGTCCGCAGGGGCGTCCGTTGACCAGGGGCCGCCGGCGTATTCGGCCGCCGCCGCAGGTGTGAACCGAACCCCGCCTTGCAGGTCCACAGTCACGCCTGCCGCCCCCAGCCGGCTCAGCGCCTCCCCCGCGTCCAGCGCCCCGGCGCAACCGTCAATCCAGACGCCGAGCGCAGCAGCGAACACCGGAATCCGGGCCTGCATGGCGGCCCAGGCCGCCCAGAAGGCCGCGTCCGCCGTGCTGCCCGCCGCCTCGCGCCTGAGACCCATGCCGCCGAAGGCGCCGGCAAGGCGCATCTGCGTGACGGCAGCGGCCTCGACGCGCTTGCCGAAAATCATGTCCTGGACTATGTGCTCCATCCGGTCGCGCACAGGCTCGGCTACTGCACCCAGCGCCGGAGACGGCACCAAGCGAGCATCATATGAAAGAGCATGCGCTACCGACTTGGACAGCATGAAAAAAAACAAGTGGCCAGACGTGATCCCCGGGTGGGCGGCAGAGAACCCGCCTTGCACGCCCAGCTCGCCGCCGCCTGGACGAGAGGCCCATCCCTGCTGAGCTGGACGGCAAGGTCTCCCTGCAAGGTCTCCCTGCGCGGCGCCTCCAAGCAGCGGTATGCCTCCCCGCGCGCGCGGGATGCGCTCGGCAAGCCGGCGCAGGTGCAGCGGGAGCTGGGCATCGTCTGCGCCGTCGTACGCCTGCGCCCAACATCTGGCATTTCGGGGCCCTCATGCGGTGACCGCCGCGCGCCAGAGCAGCCTCCAAGGCTGGCCATTGGGCCGCGAGCACGCTGGATTTGGCGAACAAATATGTGTCATCCTCCCCGTGCGTGCAATGCCAAGCGCGTCGGCCCCGACGCCCTGGGCGCCATGCTGGGGCAGACCGTGGAGACAGTCCTCCAATCCCATGGCGAACAGGATCTGCATGAGGCGCGTGCCCTGCCACCCGCCGCGCGAGGAGGTTGACTCCCGCCAGTGCCCACCTGCACGCTGCCATACTGTGGTGCGTCCTGGTCGCCACTGGGTTGCAGCCAGGGCCGCGAGCTCCGGCGCGCGGTGCCGGCAGCCTCTCAGGCATGACGACCTGAATGCACGGCCGTTGGCGTTCTCCAGGTCTATGCTCGCAAGCACCTCAGGGTCATCCTCCTCAGTCTCCCCCTCCTCCTCCTGAACGGCCTCGGCCACAACGCACTTGGCCCAGCTGCGGACGAGGTAGATGATGAGGAGCGCTCCGTCCCGCGTGCCACAGCCCAGCTGGCGCGGCTCGAAAGCTTGCAGCAGCTTGGTCATGATCTCATCGATGCAGACGCCCTCCACAAACTTGGTCAGGACCTCCGCGCAAGCAATCGGCCGCAGCTTGCGCTCCGGAGCCCTGGGCGGCTCCGCGGCGGCCCACCCGCAGTCGGCAGGGGTGATGCACGCAGCCGTCCAAACCTCCACGCTCACGTCGCGCACCCTGCCCTGCTTCCACATCTGAGCCCAACGGGCCAAGGCTTGGATGCCTCTGGCCACGGCGCCCACCTCCTTCAGATACGAGTTCCTCCAACAACCAGGGCCGCACTGCGCTGCATCCCGCAAGAGCCGCAGCCGGCGCCGCACGGCGCGGTGAGCTGGAGGCCTGGCCTTGTCCGCACCTCGCAGTGCAAGGGCGCACTCCGCGCGGATTGCAACGGCCTCCACGTCGTCGGTGGCGACGCTGACGAGCTCGTCAATGCGCGCGCGCGGCCGTCTGCTCGGTGAGAGGCGTCCGGACGGCGCCCGTGAGCAACGATTTGGCCGCGCGGATAGCCCCGCTGCTCTGCTTGGACGCGGCCTTTCTGAAAACCTCCTCGTCTGGGCGCGGCTGGCCTGGGAGCGGAACGTCCCAGCCAGCAGCCGCCCGCGCATCCGCTGCTGTGGCCGCACGGAGGTCCTCCAAATATCCCGCGAGAAGCGCGTAATTAGTAGTCGCCAGCCTCCGCCGCCTGCAGGCGCTGCCTGACCAGCGCGTGGAATCCTATGGCGTCGGTGCCAGCAGGCTCCGGGTCGGCCTCGAACACGTCCGTGCGCGCAGAACGGCGGTGTCGAAGAAGAAGGGCTGGCGCAATCCATAGAAGCTGCGAGGCCTGGACGGCCTCAGCAACGTTCCATCCCGTCGCCTGGCGTGCTGCCGCAGACTCCGCTGCCACGTGCTTCTGCAGGAGGTCGCGGAAGACAATGCCGATGCGCTGCCGGAGTTGGGCCGGGGTCCTGAGGAGCGTGGGGAGGGCAGGCATGGAGGTGGCCTCGCACAGCATGTCGTCGAATGCCCTGGGCTCAGCCGGTCCTGGACAGGCGACAGCCTGCTCTGGACTAGCGCCTGGTTGCCCATGGGCTCGTGCGTCCCGCCCTGCAGGAAGAGGAGCAGGGAGAGGAGGCGCACCTGGCTGCCCGCGGTGCACGCCCTGAGGTACGGCACAGGGGTGGTCGCCGAATGCCGCCCCTCGGCACGCCGCTGAGCAAAAGAACGCATGGCAGCGGGAGCACCTGTAGCCCCATTTGTCGCGGGGGGGCTTCACGGAGCACGCCACGCACTCCTCGGAACCCCGCGCGCGCCAGCGCTGGGCAACGCGGTCGTCCTGGAGCTGGCCGGCCTGCTCGTCGATCACCGCATTGACGAGGTCAATCGCCGCCTGCACCGCCAGCGCCTCCTCAGCCTCCCCCTCCGCCTCCTCTCCCCCCGCTCCTCCTGCAACAGCTTCACGTTGTGCTGCATCCCCTCGTCCTCCGACTGGTACTGGGCCTCCTCCGAGGATGGGCTGGCATGCCCCGGCAGCACCTCCCGCCTCTGGGTCTTCTCCTGAACCTCCTCCTCCTCCTCCTCCTCCTCCACCTCCTCCACCTCCTCCACCTCCTCCTCCTCCTCCCTCTGGAGGGCTGCTGGGCGGCTCGGCAGAGCTGCCGATTACCTCTCCAGCCTCCTCCGCACGGAGCTCCACCACCAACGCCGCCTCCTCCTCGTCCTCCTGGGCGGCAGCAGCGTCAGCAGGAGCAGCTGGTGCGGCAGCATCGCTAGCAGCAGCACCGCAACTCTGACATACGACTGCGTTGCACGGCGCGCACGCCCTGGGACAGCCGCCGCGTGCCCAGCCGCCGCCACACATCTGGCACCGCAGGCCTCGCACGGGGCGCACCGCCACCAATGCGCCCCTGCAGCCTGGACATACGGCTGCAAGGCGCTGCCGGCACTCTGGGTGCTGCCCAGCCTCCGTGCCCAGGTCACCCTGGGATGGTCCACTGCCTGGGGGCCCCGCAGGACTGCCTCCTGCACCTCCTCCGGCACCAGCTCCTTCAGCTCGTGCAGCACGCGCCGGCGCTGCCGCGCCTGCCGGCGGTGTGGCGGGAGCAACGTCAAAGCGCGCTTCCCACTGCCAAGGCATCTCTCCCACGATCTCCTGCACCACCTCCGCCCCACTTCCATCTCCAGCAGCTCCTGCCTCCTCCTGCCTCTCCCTCTGGTCCTCCTCTCGCGCGGCTGCAACATCCTGCTCGTCGGCGATGCTCGCATACTCGCTGTCCGCCACCGGCGTGGGCCAGTCCTCCACAGGCACTGGCGTGGGAGGGCCAGGCCCCTCCCCCAGTGCAACCTCCAAGGAGAGGATGCGCTCTGCCAAGTCCCGCTGGATCTCTGGCAGTGTCTCGTATGGCTGGTCTCGCCAACGAGCCTCCAGAGCAACGGCCGCCTGCGCATCCACCAGCGCGCGGAGCTGCGCGAACCGCTCAAGGCATTGGACGCGCTCCTCGAGGTCCCGCCGGATCTGCCGCAGCTCTGGCCTGGGCAGCGGCTGGACCATTTCGGCGTCAGCCGCATGCGCGTCCACCATCGCACGGACTTCCGCCATGAAGCCGCCGAGAGGACCTGGGTGAGGCTCGATGCCCTCCTCCGTGAGGTCGCGGAGCCATCCACCCAGGGATGTGGCCGCCAAAGCATCATCATGCTGGGCGTGGGGCCCCCGCCGGGCGGCGCGGTCCTGCGTGCGACAGTTGCCAGTGCACCCACCACGACTGCACCACGTTGCGGGGCACGCCCAGGTCGCGAGCAGCCTCGGCAAGTGCGGGCTCGCCTCCCATCCGGATGAACTCTGCGAGCTCGCCGAGGGGGCGGCCCTGAGGCTGCCGGGGCAGCTGCAACTCCTGCAGCGGAACGCCATGGGCAGGCTGCGCGCGGAGGCGAGCCCAACCAGTCCCGGAGGCGCACCTGAGAAGGCAGCAGCAGCAGGCGGCCACCACAGTGGCGACCACGGTGACGAGGACGAAGGCCGCGATGAGGAGGTAGAACTCTCAGTGCTGGAAGCATAAACCGCCCTCGCTGCCGTCCGCATCCACGCTGGAGTGTTCGTCGAACCAGGAAGCAGCAGCAGCGCCAGCCTGAGCGGCAGCAGCACCTGCAGCAGCACCGGCTTGCGCTGAAGCCTCATGGACCACAAGGTCCTGGGTTGCCTGGAGAGCCCACAATGCCCAGGGGGCTCCCCCACCAGCAACGCCCTCCAGCGCAGCCAGCCCGACCTGCCCAGCGCCACCCCGCTGCGCAAGAGCCATCCGGCGCACCCGGAGGAGGGGGGAAAGCGAACGGGGAGGGGAGAGTGAACAAGAGAAAAGACCCCTTGAACACCTGCTCCTGCACCTTGAGCCAAAATGCTGCTCCTGCGGCTCCTCCTCCTCCTCCTCCTCTTCCTCCTCCTCCTCCTCCTTCTCCTCCTCCTCCTCCGCCTCCTCCTCCTCCTCCTCCTGCTCCTGTTCCTGCTGCTCCTGCTGCTCCTGTTGATCCTCCTCCTCCTCCTCTTCCTCCTCCTCCTGCTCCTCGGCCTCCTCCTCCTCCTCCTCCTCCTCCTCCTCCTCCTCCTCCTCCCCCTCCTCCTCTCCCTCCTCCTGATCTGGCTCCTGCTCCCCTGTTCCTGCTCCTGCTGCCCATCCTCCTCCCCCTGGTAGTCGTCGTCGTCCCCTTCCTCCTCTTCCTTCCTCCCCTGCTCCTCCTCCTCCTCCTCCTGATCCTGCTCCTCCGACTCCTCCTCCTCCTCCTCCTCATCCTTTTCCTCTTCCTCCTGCTCCTGCTCCTGCTGGTCCTGCTGCTCCTGCTGCTCCTGCTCCTCTGCTCTCCTCATCATCCTCCTGCTGCTTCTGCTGCGCTGCTCCTCTCCTCCTCCTCCTCCTCCTTCTCCTCCTTCCTCCTCCTCCTCACCCTCCTCTCCTTCTCCTCCTCCTGCTCCTCCTGCTCCTCCTCCTCCTCCTCCTCCTCCTCCTCCTCTCCTCCTCCTCCTCCTCCTCCTCCTCCTCCTCCTCCTCCTCCTCCCTGCTCCTTCTCCTGCTCCTGCTCCTCCTACTGCGCCTGCTCCTGCTCCTCCTGCTCCTCCTGCTCCTCCTCCTCCTCCTCCTCCTCCTCATCCTCCTCCTCCTGCTCCTGCTCCTGCTCCTGCTCTTGCTTCCTGTTGCTCCTGCTTCTCCTGCTGCTCCTGCTGCTGCTTGTTCCTTTTCTTCCTCCTCCTCCTCCTCCTCCTCTTCCTCCTGCTCCTGCTCCTTCTTCTCCTGCTGCTGCTGCCTGCTGCTGTTCCTCCTCCTCCTCCTCCTCCTCCTCCTCCTCCTCCCCTCCTCCCCCCTGCTCCGCCTCCCCCTCGTCGTCGTCCACCTGCTTATGCTCCTGCTCCTGCTCCTGCAATTGCTCCTGCTCCTGCTCCTGCTCCTCCTCCTCCTCCTCCTCCTCTTCCTCCTCCTCTTCCTCCTACTCACCTCCTCCTGATCCTCCTCCTGATCCTCCTCCTGATCTTCCTCCTCCTGATCTTCCTCCTCCTGATCCTCCTCCTGATCCTCCTCCTGATCCGGCTCCTGCTCCTGATCATGTTCCTGTTCCTGCTCCTGCTCCTCATCCGCATCCCCCTCGTCGTCGTCCTCCTCCTCATATTTCTTCTCCACCTCCTGCTCCTGCTCCTCCTCCTCCTGTTCGTGCTCCTGCTCTTGTTCCTGCTGATGCTGCTGCTTCTTCTCCTCCTCCTCGTCCTCCTCCTCCTCCTCCGCCTGCTCCTCCTCCCCTCGTCGTGGTCCACCTGCTCCTGCTCCTGCAACTGCTCCTGCTCCTGCTCCTGCTCCTCCTCGTCCTCTTCCTCCCCCTCCGCCTACGTACTCTTCCTCCTCCTCTCCCTCCTCATCCTCCTCCTCCTCCACCTTCATCCTCCTCCTCCTCCTCCTCTTCTTCCTCCTCCTCACATCCTCCGCCTCCTCTTCCTCCTCCTCCGCCTGCTCCTCCTGATCCTGTTCCTGCTCCTGTTCTTGCTCCTGCTACTGCTCCTTCTACTCATCCTCCCCCCCCTCGACGTCAACGTCGACGTCGTCGTCGTCGTCCCCTCCTCCCCATCCTCTTCCTCCTCCTCCTCCTCCTCTTTCTCATCGTCATCGTCCTCCTCCTCCTCCCGCTCCCCTCCTCCTCCTCCTCCTCCCCCCTCATCACCTTCCCCCCATGCTCCTCCTCATTCTCCTCCTCCCCCTCCTCCTCATCCTCCTCCCTCCTCCTCCTCCTTCCCCCATGCTCCTCCTCATTCTCCTCTCCCTCCTCCTCCTTCTACTCCTGCCCTCTCCTCCTCCTGCTCCTCCTCCTCCTCCTCCTCTTCCTCCTCCTTCTCAAACCTCCTCCTCGTCCTCCTCCTCCTTCTCCTCAATCTCCTCCTGGTTCCTGGTTCCTGGTTCCTGGTAGGTAGAAAGCTCGTCGAACGCAGCCACCCTGTGCCCACCTCCTCCTCCTCCTCCTCCTCCTCCTCCTCCTCCTCTTCCTCCTCCTCTCCTCCCTCCTCCTCCGCCTCCTCCTCCTCCTCCTCCTCCTCCCTCCTCCTCCTCCCCCTCCCTCCCTCCTCGCCCTCCCCCTTCCCCTCCCCCTCCTCCTCCTCTTCCTCCTCCTCCTCCTGCTCCTCCTCCTCCTGGTTCCTGGTTCCTGGTGGCTACATAGTTAATCGAACGCAGCCTCCTCTCCTCCTCTTCCGCCTCCTCTTCCTCGTCCTTCTCCTCGTCTTCCCATGCCTCCCCTAGGGCAACTACCTTCGCGCTTCGCGCTCCG